AAATTTAAGTCAGTCAGCTACAGAATTAGAATATCAGTGACAGGAAATTGAAACTGAAAGGTCAAACTCTGGATAGTCCTGATGCAGAGTGTATTTTTCAACGACGTTCGCTCAGATCACACCAAGGAATGTACTACACTTGATTGAGTCTGCTTCTACTCTGGATACGCATTATTCAAGATGACTGAGTGACGTGATTACAGAGTAAAGTGACGCAATTACAGGTTTGTTTTACCTAGTTAATTCATGCGCATTTTGTAATGTAAATAGACGACCGTAGTCTAGAAACAGTTTCTCTATTTCAAATGATTTCAGCGAGAATCGTTAATTCGTTCAAGCCAACGGGATGAACGAAGATCGAAAACCAATACACGTAGTTTAAAATCGTAGTTTTCATCACCGAAAAACGCCGACATTGTCAAATTTATAGGGATAAAGAAAATGTTTACTAAGCGTTGTTGGCTGATACAGGATTTGGCATGTCGTGTTAAGATTCGGCTTTACCGATTTTACAACATAAGCTAACATAGGCTGATGCAATCATTTTGTATTACGAGACCTGAGATCACGACATAATGATGTGTTATGTATGTAATTCGTCTTCTTATTTACCGGTTATCTTGAACCTTTTATGGGATTCAAACGACGGCTTCCCAGCTTGCTGCTGAGTACACTTTAGTTCCTCTTCCTATTGTGAATCACCGAGTCTTTTCGAACAAGACTCGTCAAAATCCAGGTTTGTCGTGATGATTTAGTTGTCATCTTTAAGACTGACTGTTTAGCCTTGACGCTAGTTCGACGAAAAACTTGCCAACCACCTTAAGTAGAGGAGGAACTCTACGCCAACAATTTAGTGAGAGCTATATCTTTACTGGGCTCAACACCGTGACTATGATGCAACACTCGACATATTAGGCCATAATTAACAATTAGATTATGAGTTCGAGATTTCTATGAGGTGATAGCTGATGAGGCCGAAGGCCGGATCAACTATCGAGTAATCTAATTGTTTTAGTAGAATTCTAGCAGAAACTCCCTTCAAATAACGATTCCAATTATTTCTGGTCTTAGTATTAAACTTTACGCTTAAGAGAATTCGCGCGGACTGAATTGTCAATTTGGCATGGTGTACATGTACGCGCGCTTATCAGTTTCTTTCAAAAATTGCAGCTCTGTTAATTCAAGAAACCGTAAATGCCCTCCTTTTAGTCTTCTCAGAAATTTAATTGTTTACTTGTTTCTAAATGTTCTTTCAAAACTTCGGAGGAACGAGGAAACGTTGTAATTTTGTCGACCAGACCAAGCCACTGCACACTAACACTGCTGATAGTGTGCAATGGCTCAGCCAGTCAGATCACAGCATTTACATTAGTATACTAGTAGAATTCTACTAATGTGAAGGGGTTCTTTCGAGGGGTGTCGATGATAGATCATTTGGCATTGACTGTGGTGTCCTACATTGATTGGCGCTTAAATCAGCTTCAGCTTTTGTTTGTTTGGGTGCGTAAGCTAGTGTAAATTATTCAGCAAGCGTCAAAAGTACAACGTTTAGTTTGTAGCAACGCTAGCGCTTTTGGTTATGCCCTTGGTAGTTAAGCTACATTATTTGTAGCGACTTACCAAGACGAGTTAATCATTTAGTGCAGGAAGTCGTGATATCAGTAAAATATAACTCATGTAACTATGAGGAAGTTTATTTAACTCTATATGTTGTTTTAATTTGTTCTTGTGAGCATCTCCGTAGTCTCCCTGGACTAGTGTAAACAATTAAACGAAACGAAATGATATGTTTTATCAATACTATGTTACTTGAAAGGGGCTATGAGCTTAAGGAATAGGAATAGGCTGTAGAAATACTATTTTGAATTCATCAAAACATTACCGCACATAATCCCAAGAAAAACGCAAAAATTACCTAAATTGTGAATGTGAGAGTTCCCAAAAGAAATTTTATTGGAAAAATTGAAGGGAATTTATAAAAATTCCCGGCCAAAGTAGGAATTCACACTTTTTTACTTTTTTTTTTTTTTAATTACCAATAAAAACCCAAATCGGAATTCAAGAATATTCCCAATTTCTTGTTTGGTTCGGATGACATCCCAATTTTTTAATATTTTCTACTATCCCACCTTGGGAGCTCTGATTTTAATCAAACAGGCTTTTCTTGTCACTGAAGCTATAACGACGGATATAATAATATTTGTTATTGTAAGGTGAACCTTCCTCAAAGAAAAAGATTTCCCATTAAACTTCCCACATCAGTTCCAATATGTTTGAGGAAGCTTTTCAATAATTATTGATCTGTCTACAAGATAAGAAGGAAACCCTCTCTATGTAAGCCAAGAAAAGCCAAAAGTAATCTGACTCCAACATTTCCATTTTATCAGGAAGAACTTGAATGTCATGTACAAGTAGTACAACGCAGACATGTTCCTATTAAAAGTATCACAAACAAAGCTATCATAACTCAATGAAACAGTCAGTGGTCTTTTATATAATAGCTCTTCTGCAACACCCAGTATTGAAAAAGCATCCTGAGGCTGTCAAATGCTAAGATGTAACTAGAATAGAGGAGGTAAGTGTCTAAAGAAACTGTCGTGCTGCGTCGGTGGGGAGTATAACAAGATAATTTGGTTTTATCAGGTCGGCTGATAATGTGGATTACAATCGCTCCGACGAAGGGCTAACGTTCGAAACGTCAGCTTTCGAATCTCTTTACGGTGGCCAATTTCTTAAGTATTGGCTATTTTTTACGCAAAATATCGTAGAAAATTCGAGCAAAGAAACGTGATATATCGGCCGAAAGAACTCTTAGGGACACTGCGGTTGTTTCCTTGAGAGGATTAGGTTGTCAGTTTCCGAAGTAGTCTTAAAGTCCCAGTAAATTCCCAAGATTGGTAAACTGGTTTTCATGTAATAACCAATATTGGGTTTTTTACATTTGGGAGTTTCTTCATGATTTCCCAAGTTTCCAAATTTATACTTTTTCCTGCAACAAAATCCCGCTTAATTCCCAGTCTGCTTACCTTCGTCACTCAATAACCAATGTCGGGTTTCCACTTTGGAAAGTTTATGTAAATTACCCATCATTGGCAATTTGATATTTTTCCTGTGATATACATAACAATCAGGAGGTTGGGTAGCAATTGAGAATTTTTGAGGTCTGGGGCGAAGCTCATGAAAGTGCCTAGATATGGAGGGATGCAAGGGCACAGAAACTGTGGCTTAGGAAAACACTTCTTGCTCAGCGGGCGGTGTTATGAGAAAATTCGCCATTGCACAGACATTTCTTTATTATTTGGAAAATTATAGAAAAAAGCCCAACAGTAGCCTCTTTTCAGCTGGCTACTGGAAATCTTAAGTTTTGTTCTTCTTTGTACTTTGCCGATTTTTTGTACACCTGAGCGTGTGCAACGCTGTTTCACCAACTCATTTGGAAAACAAGTAGATCGTTATCGGGTCATTTGAGTTTCTTTTTATTATTAAAATCTACCTTCCGTTCCTTCAGAAACTAGCCAGCTGAACTACTTTTCACTAATGAAGTTTTATTAGTTGCCTCGGAAGTTAGCCAGCTGGACTGCTTTTCACTAATGGAGTTTTAGTGCTTTCCATTCATAGGATAATTTTTCCTTGCTGTCGGTAACACCAATTCAGAATTTCAAATTTAAGTATCTCACTTTTAATTTCCTAAGTTTATCTATCTTAATCTCAGCCTGGGTAATTTTAATCCTAGCACTCTATTTTTAATTTTGGAAGCCTCGTGGTGTTGATTAGAATTCGCTATCTTAATTAAGTACTTTCCGCTCGTATTGTATACCTGAAGTTACATTAGCATATTGTAAACACTTGACGTGTAAAGGATGATATATAAGCGAGTACGTTTGTAAAGCTTTTTCGATTACATCGGCTACACCGTTACGATTACATCGATTACTCCGACGAGTATGTCAGTTTCACCCTCAACGTTAGAGTGCAGAATAAACTACTGTCGGACCAAGTTATGTCTCTTCCTTGACGTCCGTAGTGAAGACCATTGAAGTAGATCCTCGTGTACCAGGAAATCGTGACGAATTTCCGTTCAAGCAGCCAAGCAGTGCTCTCCAGAGTTAGATTCCCCCAGTTGTCAGTTCAAGTGTCCGTTCAGTCGGAAATTTACAGTGTTGCAGGAAAAACTTATCGTCACAGCGGCACGTTTTGGTCCTTTACTATGCAAGAGTTAATTTCTGGGAAAATTGCGACTTTAGTTGTTAGAATTTCCGTATAAAAATTAACTCCATATTTCATTATGCCTACATCTACATTCCTGCTGAAAGAAAATTGGAGTAACTCGCATTGTTCAGAAATTTTCTAATTTTGGAGGGGTAATAATGGCAATGATGCCATTCTATACAAGAGGTTAATTGGAGCATTTTGTCATCATATCCACATGAGGGCACGAATATGTCGCCCCGCTACCTGTACAACAAAGCTTGCAATTTGCATCTTTTAAAATGTATTTGCTCTTTAACGGGTTGGAATCACTTCATGCTACGTAAAAAGCGTTAAGCAATTTTGTAATTAATTGTCACTTATCATTTTAGTGACTTTGTCATGGCATGGCCCGCAAGGAATTCTCCCTGAACCAGACGTTTCCTATGTTGTTCCTCAGAAAAAAGGAAGGTATCACAAAAAACAGGTATCTGCAGGAGTTATTTTTAAAGAAGTAATTCAGTTTTCCCCTGAAAAATCGTTTTGCCTAGCCTTAATGATCATAGCTCAAAGTGTTAGGAAATGAAGCATTCATCAACTCTCTGGCTCAGTTATTAGGGAGTTTAAGGTGGCTCTATCGGAGGTTTCAGTAACGATACAGTTCAACTTTGAGCGATTAGAGCAGCACCAGGCATTATCAATCCAACCGAAAATCGAACGTTACTGGTGTACTAAAGAACGATTATAATTTTCTTTTGTTTAGAATAATCATGCTATTGTACATTTCCGTATATCATGAATTCATACAGAAATGTGCAATAGCATGGTGATTCGAGACAAAACAACATTATAATATAGACAACAAACAACATGAGTGAAATTCAGTGCAATATTATCCTGAATTGACGCTGAAAATTAGCTGCCTTAACATGTTTCAATTAATTTGAAACTCCGGGATTGCGTTGAATATGGATTAATCTCATTGAGGACCAAGTCTAAAAAACATTCATCGAGTGTTTTTTTAATTCCTGCCCAATTTAATAATTTTAGGGGCAATTTTTGATAGATAGCAAAATAACACCCCGCACCAGTTGATATTTAAGCCAACGTTTCTGAAAGTCAAACGGAGCAATTTCGCTGAGATTTTCACTGGAGGTAATTAGGTCTTATGTAAAATGGAGCATGGCGTCATTTCGCAGCTAAGGTAACTCAGATCCTGGTGAAATTTACCCCATTTAAAACTTTCATCTTTCTTTAGTCATTCTGCTAGCATTATTGTAGCCGTATGGCTACAGAAAGGCCATCATTCTACTTTCACAAAATGGTAGTCTGTGATTACTAAAATGCACGTGGTTGCATTCGAGTTTTGACTCGAATGCGACTTTATGCAGAGAGTCGAAACATAGCATTCGCATGCACCAGGCAATGAAACTCCTTTAATAAAAGCTGCCTGTAAAACATCAGTGTCCCAGGATTAACTGATTAACTTCCAGCTGTGAAACAAATCAACTTGTCTCGTAACTGGATTATTCTTTCCTTGATTAATCTCTCTATAGCTCTAAGCTTAGAAGAATTTCAAATAGGAAACTAGCTCTAAATGCTTTAGTCCGGCGGCATAGCTCTCGAATTGTGCGATTTTTTATACAAGCAACAAACTTTGTAGGATTATGGGCATTCCCACACTAATCAATTCCTGATATAGTGCCAAGCTCAATTTTATAATTCCAGCTTGTTAGAGTTTTTACTCATTAGACCCCCGCAAAGTTCTTACGAATGTTCTTTTTCGAAAATTAATTAACGTTTTTACCTTAGGTTTTGACGTTATTGATTAGAATTGTTATTTTTTCTCCCTTTTTATTCAAATAGTGGAAATTTTCCTGCTAAAACTATTAAATGAGTGAAGGCCTTAATTTGCATAAATATGCATTTTCTCTTGCTGCCCTTTCCATACATTTCTGCAACACTTTTTCTTGGTTCAGATGGTAGGAGCGGCATCTCATTCTAATTTTTTTCTGTGCAATTCGATGCAACTACGTACAGCACAATCCTTTTTTAAAAAGTCAACGTGTAAAGGAAGAAATTAAATGGGTTGATTTGAGAACATTTGACAATTTGACAGAACCAAACAGAACCAAACTGGATCACATATTCAAAAGGAAACTGTCTCGGCCAAAGAAGCAGCTAACGTACGTACAGGAAATATTTTCCAGACAGCAAAATGTCTCAGTATGTTCCTTTTGGAAGGAACCAACTACCGAGGTTGATATAAAGGAGGCGTGTACAATAGTTGTCGACTCCAATCCTGGGTCCGATCTGTTGCTCAAGAGTTATTCCATTTGAATCTAATATCTAAACCAAGTACAATTGACATGATTGCCCTTGGATGCAAATATGACCTGAGTTGTCTGGCAGTACTGGTCAACTGCGCCCGACAACATACCAATGGAAAAGTCATCAGAAAAAAAAGAAAAACGCAACTGCCAATATCTTACTATAGCAGAGTTAATTTTCTAGAACTCGACAGCCGTGTACTACCGTTTTCAAGCTCTCAAACTGGAGAAAGGAGTTTTGCAAAAGGCGTGGCGGCAGACAAGTAAAAGATACACTCTACGCATGTGATTGACTGCTGACACCCAAGTTAAAGAGGTATTGCTAATGTTTGACGAAGACAGGATGACTAGTAGTGTTTTTACGCTTCCTCAGCGGAAAACGATGGCAACGTGATGACTTTAGAACGCACAACTAGCATAGTACGTAAATAAATGCTCAACAGATCATTCACAGCCAGTGGACCTTTTTCTCAGAACCGCCAAAAGGAATCATTGCCCCACTGACCTTGCTGGCATCGGTAGCCATGATCCTTGCGGGAGAAACGCTAAATTCCAGTCATAAAGCCCGCCCGTAAATCCAAAGAATGCACTCGGCATGTCAAAAGTCAAGAGACCCCTTTACCAGTATGTAAAGGCTGCATGCTGCACACAAATCTACTTAAGAAAGAAATTGTTGACAGACGGCATGCTCTAGGCATGTTGATAGCCAAGAGCAACAATGCGATGTATGTCATATATCAGATATGGCAAGAGTAGCAGATGCAGTTGTGGATGGGCACGGCATCCCCTCGTAACCTGAAAACGGGGGTTTTAACTGCACAGGCAGTCGATAAAATTGACCTCAACGCGTCTTCGACAACCGCTATAAGTTTCCACGGCATGCGCGGTATCCCACTGACCCAACAACCTAATGAAGCGCGTCACATATCAAGGAGGATACGTGCGGGAACAGGCAACCATTCTAACCCCTGTACTTCCCGGCTGTCTACACATCTCGGTAGAGAGGGCTAGATGCAGCCAAGATGGATTACCCTACAAGCAGCAGCCGCTAGCCCTAAAGTGCTAGGCTATTGTCGTTGTAAAACGAGCTGCGGCAAAAGATGTAAATTTGTTACATGTACTTCCCTGTTTTGTGTGATGGCCAATGCATTCGCGAGTATGTGATACGGAAATTTAAGGACACTTAAAAAATCTGTAGGTTTTATTGCAGATAATAATGGTCTAACCAACAGGAGGCCCATCGACAAGACGCAGGGCTTTCTTTTATTTTCAGCAAACGTGGGATTTTACTTTTCCGTTTCCATGGCAACACCTATTAAGGGTAACGTGCCATATGATAAAACGAAACGACCTTGGTAAGCAAGTTGGAACCATTGAAATGAAAGTGTATTTGCTGATAAACTAGGGTAAAGAGAGGAATTTCATGAATTTTAATACTTTGTGGTTTCCATTGAAACCAGCGGATGTCCACCTTGGCACTATATCCGAAAATGTTCGTATTGGTGACTGCTATCAATGTGCCAAATTTCATGCTTGTATCAAAAAAAGCACAATTTGCCTGAAATTTCGAGTTATGCCGCCGGACTATTTAACATGAAAACTTAAAACTTGATCTTTGTATAGAATTTTAAAACCTATTTAACTAGTGGTTGTCATTTTTACCATATTTAAACATCAAATCTAAAGTTACTGGGTTAATTCTCATTTATCGTTTTAGTGACTCTAACCAGTACAGACCCTCCGGCCGCCGTAGCATTTCCGGCAATGTCTTCACAAGGAAAGGTATTAATTCTTTATGTCTTCAAGAATTCGCTAACTCGGGAGCTCGTATATATAGAAACCATGTGACGTGGTTATACCTCCCGACTCTTTTCAATTGGAGGAGAACGTGTCACGTTTCGGGGAAGCAAAACTCGTCGTTTCCCTTAGGGCCAGTCATAACGTACTTAAGTTATTCCACTGAAATAGAACCTGCACTGAGATTTTTGTGAAACTTTGCCTATTGATTGTTTATATTATAGGAACTTAAATTTTGAAATAAAAATGAGGGGTCCTCATATTCGTTTAAGAGCAACAGCACCTTGTTTATACCCATATAAATCCTTATAATAGCACCATGATTGTAGTCACGATTGCTTGCCAAATTCACGTTTTCGGCGATTGTTTTTTGTTCTACACTGAGAATTGGTCCATGTTTATTTTACACAGAGAAATTTATTACTCAATTCAAAACAACAGAAAAAAAAATGATAGGTCACCATACTCGTTTGCGAGAAAATGACGATTTACCTCTATGGTGAGGTCCAGCCGTAAAGAAAAAGCCGCCATTTTTTAATGCGCGCGCGCTAATCACGCCTTAAATTGTGCGCAGTAGAGATGCGCAATGCAATACTGGGGAATGATCTTAATATACAACATACTATATCATTTGATGATGGAAGTCTTGTAAAGACCTTTAGTAAGGTAACAAATCTATAAGCAATAGCATAGGCGCATTTTTAGCTTTCTTAACTTAGTTTTATAATTTATTCATTAATAGTTTTTTGATAATTATTTCTTACTTGCTTACCGTAACATCTCCAAAAAGAAAAAAACACACTAGGAAACCACAGATTCCAGTGTAACCTCAAAACTGCATTGCAGACAGACTACGCTGTCACACCTGCAACTAAGGCCATTGAATAAATATCGGAAACAAGTAGTCGCTAAAGTGATAGTAAACGAAGCTAATTTTCAGATAACAGTAACAAAACAGAGGCAATGCAAAAAAAGACAGATGATAGTAAAAGGACAATCGAAAACTGAGGAAGTAGGGAAAACAGAAGTGAAAAACAATAAAACTAATGATTTTCAGATGGAGTCGTTGCAGCTCTGCCTTGCAGTAAAACAACATGTCTAAGAAGCATGCGTCCTACGCTCTTTTATGACTAAGTTATGGGACCTCATGCCAAAAAAGCATGTGATTACAAGTTGATATTTACTCAAATTATCTTGGAACAAGGAAAACGGAAGCACTTAACGATTAGCTTCGAGTCCGCGGTATAATCTTCCTTAGCTTTTCTTAGTGGTAATACAAGTTATTACATGGCTAGCTCCGTGAGCAGGCAAGATGAATCAAATCCTGCGCTGTGATTGGCTACCCGAACGGGCAAGATGGAGCTATCTTGCCCGCTCGGGAC